GAAACCCAAATATAGACTTACAATCAATAGGAATCTATTCAAAATCAGATATTCAACATCACATTAGAACACAACAATTCCAAGAATTATTAACACAAATGGACACTATACAAAGACAATCAATTGACCAAAATCTACGCAAACTTGCAGAAACCGCAGGTTTTGCCGATATCTACACGCAAGACTACAGCGGATATTTTAAAGACATTAAAGATTATATATATCTAAACGGCGAAAAATACCGTCCCCAAGATATATCACCAATCAACATTTTTAGCTTTGTTACACTCAAGAATGAAATCCTTGATTTTCTAGGATGGCCCTACTACATCTTAGAAAAATTGACTATTTTATACGCAATGTTTAACTTTATTGGATTTCTTTTCTCACTCTTAAAAGGAATCTACAATACATGTGCTATACACACACAAGTAAACAGACAAGCAAGTGTAGCACGCATACTCTTTGCAGGATTTTTTGGAATTTTTTCCACATCTATAAACAAAATTCTTTTAGACGCACAAATAAAAGAATATAACACAAAATTAACAACACGACAAAATACATACGACGAAGAACATAACAATGTCGACACACAGCCAACGGCACCACAATTACCACCCCTACCAAATAACCATCCACTATCCCTAGTCCCACGAAATTTTCGAAATTTAGCAATCACACATAATCCAAATTTTCGACTCACCACATCACAAAGTCCCATCCAACATATAATGACACATCAATCACAAGATGATAATACTTATGAACAAATTATTGAACAGCCCCATACCACCGCTTTTCAATCTCAAAATAATAATTTTTTTAGCCCACGATGAGCCGCCAACTTGGATCACTACACCGATCAAATTCCCATCCAACCAATCTTACCTCTCCAATCCCAATCATACCACTTTTTGCTTTTCCGCCACCCGATTTTCCATCTAGCAATGTAACATCAGGCATGAATTCCGACACTAACTCACATATTTCAGTTTTATACTCCATTTCACAGCTAAATAACCCGAATATTGAAACCCCCGATGAATTCGCCGACTCAGAACCATCTCCATCCAATAATTTTCATAACCCTTCTAATTTTTCTCAACCCTCTTTTCAACCCATATTATCCAATAACCCTGACCCAATCACTCCCACACCCTCTTATGCTTCCCAAGTTACCCCAACCTACTCCTCATACCATTCTGACCAATCATCTCATTCTCCAGACACCCCCCGAATCTCCCCAGAACTAGATAATTTTATTACCCTCCAACAACAACCCTACCACCTTAACACCCCGACCATAAACCAAATCTCCTCCACTACAAATTCATCCAATCCCCCTACACCCTCTTCAAATTATACTGAATCATTAACACCATCATCCACATCCACTATATCTTCACTAAACACTAATAGAGCTTACCGCACTTTTAAAAGAAAATTCCCCAACCATCCTTTCCCAGCAAAACCAGGAACAGCCCGTGAATACATCAACCACCCCCAGCATACTAACACTAAAGAATTTTTAGCTATCACTTTACCCTCATTTCCACAATACACCCTAAACACCCCTCACGACGCTAACGAAACACGCAACTTTGTAGATGAATACGTTTTAATGCCCACTCTCTCTTGGACCTCATACTATCATTTCACTAACCCTCTTTGCTTACCTTTATCCAGCACTTCCATCGATATAGACCGAAACAAAGACATGCTATATCAACTAACTACACCACTAACCGCTAGACAGTTTACTTACGTTGGATATAAAAAATCACTAAAAATACACACTGCACCTAGAGCTAATGAATATACACTAGAATATTACGATCACAACATCATTAGAGCTAACCAAGATCAATTCTTAGACGACGATCGCTTCGCTAATCCACAAATCACCGAGAAATTTTTCATCAAGACACCATATGTATTTACACTAAACATCTTCGACCGAAAGTTTGATCACATTATTTCAGAAGCACTAACAAACACACAAGCATACGAAAGTTTTAAAGAACGCTTCCAAATCTTTTCACTAACCTTTCACTTCCTTGCACCACACGAAAGAGATTTACACTGCTCACACGATATTATGTTGCGCACTAAACAAACACATACATACAGTTACTATCGTTTCATCCAAAATCACTTTGACCTCCACACACCCTCTAGACAATCACACCATCGTTTCCAATTCATCAATTCAAAATACACTTCACCGTATTTCCTAAATTTCACATATTGTATTAAAGACACTAACCTCCATGGTATTCTTCGTAATTATGACCCCATAACCCAAATGTACATTTTCTGCCCAATCACCAAAACCTTCAACGCCGAAGAATCCCGACCCTTCCTTATCCCGCACGAGTTCCTGCAACCTATAGAAATCCCAATTTTAGAATTCATCCACAACACTAAATTTAACCACAAATTATATAACTTAATCCAAAACACACCTTATGAGTTTGCAGTAGGCACTGAAGAACTAACCACTATTAAGGCACTTCAATTGCTTTGGCCACTGCTTCAGACTAAAAATATCATCCGCATTCTAGCTAAACTACTCACAACTTCAGAACTAATTCACGACATCTTCCCCCACGGTTTTTTCCCAGACGACTAACAGGTAAGTATGAATTAAATGAATATTACTAACTAATTAAAATATTAAAAAACTCACCATTCTTTATTCATGTTTTCTTTAGATTTTTAGCCTTCATCCTCGATCATCTGAAAAATTCACAAAAGAAAAATAAAAAATAGCAAACTTCTTCAAAACTGTTTAAGACCCTATTAAACTTTTGCACCAACAATTAAATAAATATAATACCAATGCAGTAAATTAATTTATAAAATTTTCCCCAAAGCAGTAAATCTAATTATGATGAAAATTTGTATCTTAAAATTCCCCCATAACTAGCAGTAAATTTCCAAATTCTATGCAGTAAATTAATAAAATGCAATTGCAGTACTAACCTTTTGATATTTTCATTCATTCGCACAGAAATTCTATCCACACTCGCACAGCTCGCCCACGAAGAATTGTTTAAAATAATGAATTTCAGTTTCAAGTTTTCACACTCAACAACTCTAACATATAATAACATGTTTCAAACTTTCCTTTAACCCGGTTGGAAAGGAATCATATACTAAACAAAACTAACCAACGCAGCTTACTAAATACCACAAATCATAGAATAACAGCATGACTAAGAAAAGGAAACCAACGGTACCCAAACCGGATTAACCCAGTTTAAAACTGGATAATTTATTCTTTTGAAGACTATTACAAAGTCTTAGAAAGAAATAATAAAACACAAAAAAGTCGAAAGACAAACCCATACCACAAACAATTTGATTTTTGGAAAAAGGACATAACCAACAAGACATAAGAAAGACCACAACAAACCCAACATAAAACGTTGTCACATAACAGGATCCCTCACAAAAACCGCATGAAATCATACTCCCACTCCTGGCCTAACCCACCAGGAAGGACGTCCTGAGCATGCTCTATAGCCGGCCTAACCCACCGCGCTACATCCACGCTTTGTGACCACACCTTTATTTTTAATAAGAGCTACTCAAGGGTGAGTAACTCTTCAAAATAACCGAACTAAAACAAAAAGCTTTTGTGAAAACAACTAACTAAAATCATTATTAAAAAATATTAAACTAATAAAAGTTTTATAAAATGTAAAATCACATGATGCAATATATAGATCAGAATACAACACCAAGGACGAACATCAAAAGACAAGACGACCTCACTACACTCGAGAGAGAATGACCAACTACAATCGATATGCCGCTCACAATCACAACTCAAAGGATTTAGAGTACGACTTGACTTCGCAGAAAAGGACTTCATTGAACTAGACCAATGACCACCTCGATGTTCAAGTATACGTACAGATCCGAGTAACCAGGCATCCCCTCCACGCACAATCTCCACGCCATTCCCAAACTAGATCATACACAAAAGAAGTTCTCCACGCAGAACAGAAAAACCTGACATAGCCAACCATTCTGGAATCAGAATTGACTTTGTTGCAGAGACTCAGTCGTTGTCACAAGAAGAAGCGAAAGAAAATTATGATGTTCGCCAAATACCAACGTCCATCATCCACCCTTGAATTACAGAAGAACTGTTCTAAAAAACTCTGTAAAACCCGGATGGGTGGAACCTGATCTAAACTATATTTTATGATTGGATAAATTAAATGTTTTACCAATGTAAAGTATTTAATATTAACCAATCATGATCCATCTAACTAACAACCCACTTATTTGTAAGTGCTGAAGTTACTTGTAATTTCAGCACCAGAGAGATTTGAATTTAACTTAGAAATTAGTTGGACTCTCCCGAGCACTTCAGCAGCCGCAATAAACCAGTATACCCTAGATCTATTGAGCCTAGCAGAGACTAGTTAAACAACCTGAGACTAGATAGTATAAGAGTAAGATTAGGATCGGTATTAGACTAAGAAGTTGCACGAACCTATCCGGCCGAAAATAAGATAGCGTGACGAGCAGACGGTGTACCCTATCCGAAATTACTCTATGAGTTACACTTCGGTCCTAACTCAGTTTTATTAATATATACTTTTTGATTTTGATATATTCTTTTTAATTTTTAGTTCAATTTCGAGTGATTAAATCGAACAAAGCGAGCAAGCAGGCATGCAATGCTTATTTATACCTAATTTCAGCCCTAAAAATTGAATTTTACGCAAGTAAAAGAAGTTTTTAACGCCATTAAAGTATAACTTCTGCAAAATAGGAAAAAAAATAGGAACTTTTAAGATTGTTTTGTAATTTTTCTAGAAAAACTGTTGTCCGATTGGTTTATTTAACTATGGCTGTCAAATATGCCTAAACTATAGTATTACGTCTTTTTTCTTTTTTCTATTAGTTTAAGACTATGATCGGAACATTCTGTGCTAGTTGCACATTAACCGGCTATTCTTTTTTTTTCGATAATTTACTGGTTGGTAAGTTGTTTGATGTTTTCCTCCAGGGTGTTTGAGGAGTGCTTTTCGTTTCTGAATTTGGAACTGCAGAAGTTCTCGAACATTCGCAGCTTCTCCTCCCCATCTTCATCTTCATCTGTGGGTAAAGAAGACTCTAAAGTTAAAAAAAAACACAAAAGTTGAAAACGTCAACATGAGTCGAAGAAGTTTGATTTCATAATTTCAGAACGAACAAAAAAATCCGAATTTATAATCATCAATAACCAGCGAGTTAGATTCCCTGGCAACTTTTTTTGATATCCATCTTTTTAATAGATCAGCTCGAAAACATTATTGATAAGATTATTTTAAGTTTTGTGCAGTCGCATATTAATCTCAGGTATTTCGAGAGTACGAGCCACAAGCAAATTTTTTTTGGCCAAAACCTCCCAAAAACACCAAAGATCTCATACTTTTATGACCCCTGTTGACGGCTGCCCTGAATAGTTTCCAGATTGTTTCGACAATCGAGAGGGGAGGAGGAAGCACTGTTTTGTTCACACACTCTCTGCACAAGTTGAACATCTCAAACTTCCACTCTATCGTCGAGTTCTCCTGCACTACGTCATACACATGTCTGTTGCAAAAAAAAACAGACAAGTCAGATATATGGCTCAAATTGCACATTCTGAAGTCACTGTAAAAAGAAATAATCAAGGTAGAATAAAACGAGTTTCAATAACAAAACGGGGTTTCAATTAAGAAGAAGAACAATTTAAAAGATTATATTACAAAGTTTGGACGGCAAGAACAGTTTGAGAGCAGGCAGCCTAAGAAGGGATCGATGTCTTTAACTGCATCACCCCCTCTTGCAAAAGGGGGATATTCGTTACTAGGTATAAAATTCTGACATGCTTAACCATTGATTTAGTTCTTCATTCAGGATATTCAAGTAGAAGAAGAAGAATTTATTTCTTCAGACAATTAAAGTTAAGAAATCAGACAAAATTCGTTACTATGTACCCGATGGGGGATATAGTTAAAGAGATTCGAAGAGGTCTCTGAAAAACAGAAGTGTTCTCAAAATTGTTATAACTACTGGATCTCAATTTAAGAAAAATATCAGTGCGTTTTTTAGTAATAGGGATCTCTTCAACTATTCCCCCCACCCCCTTTGGTACCTAGTAAGGAAATGCCACTTCCATAATGAAATAATTCAGCGGTTAAGCATATGAGAGTTTTGTACCTAGTATCTAGTCTCCCCCTTTTGCAAAAGGGGGATATTTAAAGAGATCTAGTATTAGTTATCAAAAATAAAACCACTCACTTATCGCATATTTTATAAATTTCGTCAAAGAGAATGACATAACAATTGGTTTTTTTTTCCAGTCATAAAATAGTGGCAAAAAAGACGGGACGACAAGTATTCGAAAAAGACTTAACCAGGAATAGCATATATTTTACCCAAATAACAAATTGGAACTATAACAGCTTCTTTCATAGATGTTAGTGGAGTTCATTTACCCGAATATGGCGATAAGAAGGTTGAGAATGAGAACATTGCCAACCAAAAGGTATGCAGCCAGCAACCAATTGGCTAGACTGGCCTGGAAGAAGTCCTGCACAAAGATGTCCGGATACCCCTCGTCCCCCGACTCGTCCGATACTGGAATGGTTTTTTGTTTCAAAAATTGAGAAACTTTCAAGTAACTACATTTTTTTAAAATGCTTCGATACCGGGTAAATAAGCAATTAGGCAACCGATTTTCTTGCCAAGATTGAAGTTTTAACCAGGCGTGAAAGCTTTCCTAGAACATTTGCAGAAACCTTGTAACGATATCTAATTTTATAAACAGAACCAAAGATAGACTGAATGATTACTGTCATTGGCGTGCTTCGAGTTTAAAAAAAGAACTGAAATTTAGGCAGCGACCATCTAACAATAAAACCAATCTCAGGTGAGATTACCTGGTAATGTGGCCCAATTCCTGGTTAAGTTATCCCCACTCCAAGTAAAGGTCACATTAGTCTCCCAGTTATTGTATGACGTCACCAGAGTGAAGTTTCCAGGGTAGTTGTCCTGGACGAGACAGCGGGCGGGGAATAGTGACGGGGTGTATCTCTGCACATTGGTGGCCATGTCATTGGCTAAATCCATGGCCCTCATTTGGGCCTTTCGGGCTTCTAGTTTCTTGTGAGATTCGAATGCCAGTCGTTGTTGTTCACGTCCTGGAAAGTATAATAGATTTTTTAATGAACCAATCACGAGCGTATTTTCAATACGAGTGTGCGAGATGAACGAGATGTTTGCTTTTAGTTTTAATGTTGATATTTAGAGACCAGCTCAATTTGTGATTTCTCTTAAAAGTCACTCAGGTACAGCTGATAATTGATTATTTTTTATTCAAAAAAATATGTTGAATTGTTCCAATAATTTTTTTTTTGCTTTTCGGGTCTGATCCGTTCAACGGCCCTAAATAGATAAATAAAGGTTTTTGACAATATTGAAAATGGGAATAATTGGGATGAATATGCTCAGTTCTGATTGATGAAAATGACCGAAAACATTGCTGGTTTTTCAAACGACCAACTAAATTTTGATGGAAATTACTCAATTTTGACCCGCCCCAAAGTATCAAAAAAACTTAAAGCGGTTGAATATTATTTGTTTTGTGTTCTGCATATTGCCACAGTTATTTCCCGCATCCAATTTCAAGAGTTAATAATGATTATATTAGGATTTTAGTACAAATCTTACCGAAATGTAGAAAAAAATGACTTTAATCAATTAATAATCGAATATAATCTCCCTTTTTAAAATAAAATTTTAATCAATTATAATACCATTTAATCAATTTTAATCAATTAGCAATCCAGCTATTTTTTAATATAATTATAATTGATTAAAAGCAATTATTTTTATCCCAGTTTCTAATTCATATGTTGTGCATTAAAATCCAATATATCGATTATAATCCCTTTTTCCCCTTTTTTCTCCGACCTTGCATCCCAATTGCTTAGATTTTATGCTTTTTGTGGATTTATGTGAAACATGAGAGAAATGTTTAAAAAATTGATAATATTTTAAAAAATTTCATTTCTCTGTTGAACTTGGTTCATGATGCACATCTTTTTTTCTTTTGATCATCAAAATATCAGCGCATTGCTTTAACTTCAAGACTTAAACTTATTTTTCGCATAGCTCAACGAAGCTTTCTTTTCCAGGTAAAACTTTTTGTTGCTATTGGAAAACACCTAATTTTGGAAATTATAATCAATTATAACTGTCAAAAAATCATCATAACAGTCCGTTATAATCGATTGCTTACGCCTAAACTTGAATGCGGGTTGGTTAATAAAAACTTTGACGCGCAGTTTTTGGGCCGTATAACGGAAGAGACCCAGTTTTTCTTCCGCCCACTCAGGAAGTCAAAAGAAAATATGCTCATTGAGCCATCCCAATAGCTTTCGGACTCAAAAAGGCATTTCAAAGGTGTTGACTTGGAGTCGAGAACAAATTATCGAAGTTTAAGTTTAATTCCCTCTACTTTCGTCTTATTTTGGAACAAATTATACATTAAATTAGCTCTTTTCGTTTTTTCTATTTCATTGCAAAGCCAAATGTATAGTTTATAGACGCACGGAATGTTAAAAACAGAATGCGGATCCCCCGACAAGTTATTCGCAATCCACTTCAAACAGATATTTCTCTTATGGAAATCTGCAAAATTTTCTGACGCACGGAATGTTAAAAACAAAAGGCGAATCCCCCGACAAGTTATTCGCAATCCACTTCAAACAGATATTTGCTTATAGATTCTGCAAAACTTTGTCGGAAATCATTTGTTTTTGATCGATTTTATTCGCTGTTACGCTTTTAGTGATATTGTTTGAGCTTGTTCGATTTTTCAAAACGATTTTTCGAAAATGTTCAAAATTTTTTAAAAAAATTTGCAAACATTTTGCAGTTTGTTAGTCACATTGTCTAGATTTTTCCCTTCAAATATAAAATACAAGGTCTGTTGAATCCAAAAAATATCATCAGATCTTAGGTTTAAGCTGACGCATAATGCATAAATCAAAACGGTTGACGCATTGCATAGAAATTTTCTCAACCTATAATGTCAAACTCGAAACTTGAACAAAATTTTTTTGATTTTTTGAGATATCATCAGCGAAAGTAATTAAATGTAACGGAGATAAGATTTCTCGTCGATGGCCATTTCGTAAAAGAATGAATTTGATTATCAGTTGTTCTTTATATTTGGTACTTAGGTTTTTGCTTAATTTTCATTTCTTACCTTTTTTTCTAACCAATATCCTACTTCATCCAAAATTTTCTGATATCGTTCGGTTAAATCACCATTTTTAATTTTGTTCTTAAGACTGATTTTTTTAATAAAAAATCAGGTTATTTTCATACTTTGCTTCCACTTAAATATAGCTTGGTTTTAGTGGCAACCTATTTGTGTCAAATTTATGAAAAATGATTTCAAAAGATCTTAAACAGGACCCTAAGTTCTATTAAGGGTTTTGCAAAATTAATGAATATGCACTGTGTCATCATGACCTGAGAGTCCGAAACTTGACGCGCTTTTCTATTAGGATTACTGAAGCATCAAACTTTTTTCTTTTTGATATGAACCTAATGATTAAAAACATTTGGTGACAATTTTTTTTATCGATTTTATATGACTCGCTAACAAAAACTTTTAATAATGGTTGTAGAAAAATTAGCTTGTTTGGTGGGGACAGTTTGTTGACTTCAATGTCGAGATGTTTAATTTGAGCAATAATAAAACTGTCCGGAAAAATTTGTGTATTCAAACATTTTTTAAAATTTTAAACTAAAACTTGGAGCAAAAACGGACTTTGCAGGCAACTCGAAAAAGTAAAGCTTGGCCATGAAATAATGTTTGCAAAACCATGGTCGAAAACTCAATGCTATTTCATCAATCAGCGGCTTTACTTTGAAATTGGGGATGAACTGTGTACTCGGATGTATTAGCTCCGACCATTTGAAAAATGGGGAGGAACATTGTATTCGGTTGTATTTCAGTTTTTTTTTGGTTGTTTTCCATGCAAAATCAGGTACCACAAATAAACATCGCAATAGGTCGAGTGATATAACATATAAAAACCCTTTCAATCATTATTGAACGAGTTAAAAACATGGAATAATTTTTTGAAGTGTCGAGAAAAACTCGTTAAAAATACCGATTTTTTGCTTTTCATCGAGCGAATCAAACGAGCGAGCAGGCTCGTTCATTCTGCAATTATGCCGCTTATAATAGTTTATTTGTGCCTAATTTTAGTTTTACTCAAGTAAAATTAATTGAAAGTTTTTTCACGTTGTTATGGTTATCAAAATCAAAACTTAAAAAAATCAGCAAAACTGTTTGAAAAAAATGTTCGAACTTTTTTGATTTATTTAATATCATTTTTCCAAATTTTTTTGTCCAATTTGTTTACAGTATTTTTGTTGTCGCATATTTCTCAGCTCGATTTTATTTCATCAGAATTTTTCATTATATCACGCAGAAAAAAATGAAAATAATTTGAAAAAATTAATTTTTCTTCTATGAAAATGTTGAGAAAAACCTGTTTAGAATTTTTGAGCGAATTAAGCGAGAAGGCCGACTTATTCATGCTTAATTATAGCCTAATTATTATTCATGTTTAAAAAAAGCTAATTCGTGCCTTATGTTAGTTTTATTCGAGTAAAAGTAGTTTTTGGAGTTTTTAACGCCATGGGAACCAAAAACTTCATTTACTCGAATTTTCAGATTTTTTTTGATTTTTTTTACGATTTTATGTTTTGAAAATTGCTCTCCAATTTGCTGAAATTTTAATAACTTGTTCAGATGTTTTTCATCACACCATGCAGAAAAAACTAGTTTAGTTTGATGAAAAAATTTTTTGTTTTTTTTTATGTTCGTAACATTCTGCGCTAATTGCACAATAAACGGCTATCCTGGTTACTTTTTACCTCTATGAAAAACCCATTCTCACCTTCAACCAGAGTGTCCAGAAAAAGTTCTCCGAACATCTGCAAGGATGGTATGAGTATGACGAACTCGAGAGTGGATGCCCAGCCCTCCTGCCTCAGAGTCTCGGGTTTGAAGATCAGAGTCACAGTACACACTCCATATGCGAGTAAGAACACCACCAACACAGTGATGAAAATCAACATCTCCTTGAACTGAAATAAGCAATCAAACTTACTATTGCTTAATTACTTTTGATTTTTTCCTTTTGTTCGCTCCTCCAATCAATCGATCAATCATACTTTTGCTGCTGTAATTGTTTTCGGGTGCCACGAGAATGACAAAAAGGAGCAGACTTTATGTTATTCTTCAAAAGTGCAATTTTTCTGTATTCGTTTTTTGGTCTCATGATTTCTGAACTTAGGTTTTCATCTTCGTTTCCGATGGAATAACCCTCAAATAAAAAAGCAATTACCAAATATTTATAAAACCCAAGCAGGGGGCGCATTTGGGTGGGGGGGGGGGGAGGCTTTCGCTTCGACCCCCTACTGACCCATAAGGCCCCCTTTGTGCTATTAGACAAGTATTTAAAATATAATTATATTTTAAAAAATAAAGCGGAATCACACAAACGAAATGGTATTGGCGCGAGCAAATTTTTGTACTTTGAAATCTGAATATCGGCTTAAATTGCATCATTATTTCGAGCTCGACCTTCGCGGGCGTTCCTTCGCGGTGACTGAAATCAAATTCAAAAATACAAGCCTCAGTAAGCTTTTTGTGGAATGTGTGATCTATTTTGCAACTGTAACTTTGTTTCACTTACCATTTTGCGCATCATGATCCACAGCGTGCCCAGTTTGTCCACCGCCTGGTACAACCTAATCACTCGCACCCACATCAACAGAGTGACCAGGCCATACACTATGCGGGCAGAGTCATGACTGCCTGTCTTGTTGAGGACGAAGCCCACTGCTATTAGAGGGAGGTATGTGAGGTCTATGATGTTCCATTCTGAACTGAGGTAGGAGTAGAGTTTGTGTGTCAGTTTGCCACTTTCACACACAAACTGCAATGAAGATAAAAACACTAATTGAACAGAATGTCTGACCAACCGCTTAATGTCCTTGGCGAAAATCAAGTCGGCAATGATTTGAAACTTATTAGAAAAATACAGTATCGGACTTAGGGAGAGGTGGAGGCGGTTGGACACGCTCTATTGATTAGACGCCCTACATACCCAATGGGTCCCCTTACTACATTACGACATCTATTTTTGTTCGACGAATACCAAAGTTTTTTCAAAGGCGCATTTGACGCTAATATACTAAATTTGCGGGGCGTCAAAAAGCACACATGTTTGGTCAAACTATTCCAAAAAAGCCTTAGAACAGCATTTTTGGTCTGTTTTTAAAAACTTGCTTCCGGCACTGACATTTTTTTTGTAAAACGAGTCTTTTTAGCATTCTGGGAGAGCTTTGAATATCAGTTTGGTCAATGAAAACTTTTTGAAAATCCGCTCTCGAGAAAATTCAAGACATAAAATCCATTTATATTTTTTGTTATTTGACATGCTAGTTTTTTATTTGGTCTTTTTTGTAAATAAAATCAAAGTGTGGCGCTGGCCCGTGTAAAGAGGAGTTCTTATATTTACAAAATGCAAAAAAGCCAGTCCCCCGCCAACTAATTTTTTAAGTGAGGCAGGGTAAGGTTGGGGTGTTATTTGAGACGTGTCGTGATCTGCTGTCACTCACTTGTCGCATTTCGTCAATGAGATAGCTGAATGAGACGACTAGCATGTACAGCTCTAGATTGTGATGGGGGTGGTCGTTGTCTATCCACAGAGCCATCAAAGAGAACAGAAGCAGAAAACTGAAGTAGGCTGCCTGAAAATAACAACCATGTTTGAGTTAGAACAATAACAGTTCATGCGCAATACGGGGAAGATCAGAAATGGAGGGTTCTGAAAATGTATACCGAGTGTACTGTGAATTTTGTTCTTGGTGCAGTGTAGAACATCCAAAGTTTCCTCCAAATGCCCATATTCGATGTCAATTCATCATCTTCACTGTTGTGCTTCGGTGCCTGGAAATGATCTCTCTCGAAATCGTGGACCTCTTTTGAAGTTGAACTTCTATCAGAGTCTGAAACAATTGAAAATACATCTGAAAACTCAAGTATTTTAAGGTTTTCGTTTTCAAAAAGGCGCACCAATTTGTGAACAAAATTTCAAGAGTTTTGCTACTGAGTTTTCTTTGTTCAATGGTTGCAGGAAGTGTATGATTAGTTGATGTACCTTGCTTGATTAGTTTTTTCTCCTCCTCTGAAAAACTCGCATCACCTGGCTTTTTCTCACTTTCTTTCAGACCGTTCGAAGATGAAGGCTGAGAGTCGTCGTTCATTTCTCTGTGACCAGTTTTTTGTTTCGGAGCACCAATTGGCTTCTTGGATTCAATATTATTATCTGTCACGTCCACGTATGCAATCAATGGCGGAAAAAGCATGCACAAAACGACCTAAATTACAAAACAGATATATTGTTAAGGCCTCAAAGCTGTTTTGTTCGTATTTTAAAAACAAGTCAGCAATATTGAAGTCACTAGTTTTTTATGATCGTCAAAGCCAGGCATGTTTTTATGTGTGATAACCAAAAATAGAACCCACCTTGAGGTATCCGGAGTTGACGCCCCCTTTCCAGTCAGAATCAACACAGGACTGCACACAAGAAGAAGCAAGGAACCTCTAAAAATGCCGGAATATTTCAACCTCTAAACTTTTTCATGGTTTTTGAAGGATTGCAACAGCATGAGCTAGCTGTTTTATACGAACGGCACCGAGTGGCAATGAATGCTGGCTAGAATTTTTTTGCTTGAGACAACAAGTCTTTATGTATATTCTTTACGGTTTTCGTGTGCCATATAAATTCAAAACATCAGCCGGAAGTGAGAAAACGAAAGATATAATTGACCTTGCAGTTTGAGTGGAGTGCCAATTGCATGAGGTGTCTGTTGGGCCAGGCGAGACTCTTCTGTCGCACTAGTCTCCTACTCAGTACGTGGTCTGTTTTGTAGCATGTGTCAATTGCACCCAAAGCAAGGTCCTCGAACTGTCTAAACATGATCGAACTGTCTATCATTTCAAACAGGTAGATTAAGCGCAAAAAAACACAGGCAAATTTTATGATAAGTGTCCCGAATAGTAGTCTAAATCAATAGCAAGACTCTCCCCTCAAAGATTCGAACCCCTGACCTTCTAAAAGATCGACTTTGGTACAATTTTAAGATGTCCATTTTTGGCTGACCAACTCTACAATTTTCAACGCGTTTTTCGGCGGCATAGGAAGAGGAAAAGGGCAGGGGTTTTATTTCAAAACCTTCCAAAAACTGTCTACAAACGATTTTTTGACTTGTATTTTCAAAAGCATCGAGAAAATCCAATCAGTCCCTGGTCTGCATGTCAAAATAGACGAATGGAACGTTTAACCACGGATTAGGCACCCATAAAAAGGTAAACACGCCTTAACTGAGTTAAGGTAAAATAAAGTTAAGGCAAGTTTTAACTGAACTTCAGTCACCTGAAAAAAAATTTAAGGAAATTTTCAAGTTATGTTAATTTAAGAGGTAAGTTAAATTAAACCAAATTAAATATTAACCTGAAAAATAGACGTTTTCTGAAGTAAACTACTATGCAAGAAAATTAAAGTGAAATAATATATCAGTACCGCCGTCATTTTTACAACACTGAACAATGAACAAATTATGAAATAGTTTCTACTTTCTATAAGTTAAACAGCCGAGTTTCACTTACTCTGAGTTGTGAATGAACTGTGGTCTGTACACATCCTCCCCCGGCCACAGTCTGCGTGAGAGCCTCCTCCACATCTCACTCCCCACCAGGGCGACTGCGATTGGCTCCCGCACAAAACCCCACAGGAACTTAGACATCTCCAGTCTATAGGAACAATTGGATATTCTCAAATCAATCAGGAAATTAATAGAATAAAAAGGTAATTTAAACTTATGCTAATGTATTCATCAGCATCAGCCAGAGACTATCTGAAAAATGGGGGTATATTTTGATCTTCATAAGTAAGGCTTTTAGTCAGGTGCGGATCTAGAATTTTTTCGAGGGGGGGGGGGTGGATTTTCAAAAAAATGTTCGAAATATTTGTCGACCTTTTTTTTAGGTCGGCCAAATTGATTTTTCGAGCTCTCCCAAAGCACTTTTTTGTCCCTGTTTTGACCAAATTTTCTGCGCAGCAGGCAAAATTTTGAAAAAACAGACCAAAAAAGGCGTTTTTAGGCACTTTTTGGAAATCGCGTTTTTTTCGGCGCGCGCTCCCCCCTTAAAATTAGTATATATTGGCGCCAGAGGTGCCTTTAGAAAATTTTTAGGGTCCATCACCAAAAAAGGATATTGGAAAATAGTACAAATGTGGGACCCTTTGGGTCGGCAGTGGGTCGAATCCCTGAGAAAGAAAGCGTCCGCCCCCCGCCCACCTCCTAAATCCGCCCCTGCTTTTAGTGCAGATAGTTTGAGTGCTTTTCAAATGATTTGAGTTAGGTCTGGTCAAAGATAATACAAAACAAGGTTTCATGACTCACTTGTTCGCAAGAATCGACCAAACAAACAGCTTCCCAAACGGGTCGTCAAACGTCCGGAAACAGACGCCGCCTCGTTTTGGCATGTTGATCCGAAACTCCTTATCCTTCAGCCCACATAAAACAGAAAGCACCTTGGAAACATCTTTCATCGACAAAAGCTTTCCTTCTGAAGTCTTCAGCTTCATTGATTGGAAAACAATATAGGTCAGATAGTCATTCGACTTGATAGCGTAATTGTAGAGAAATTTCAATCGTTCTTCAATTAGGAACTCCTTCATGGAAAAGTTGAAATCCAGGAATAGCTGGACGAAGTCGGTTTTGTTTTCCAGGAGAGCTCTCATCATCAGCTTGCTGGAATTTTTGTGCTGAAAAAGATTGATTGGTTAATTTATGCATTTAGCGTTCTCAATTTAATGCTATCAGAGAAATTTCGATGGAACTTTCTGCTCATAATCGTACTAAATAAGTTTCGTTGAAGACAACTTAGTGAAAATTTTTTAAATCCACGAAGGAAAAAACTCAACAGACGAGCAGTTTAACTCTTTTAGAGAGAGCCGCTGTTGTGTCCCTAGTTCAGAATTAATTGCAATTTTAGTTATTTTCTAAGCTGGGCAATGTTGCCTCACAATAAAGCAACCAGCATGGATCATGGTTGGCCGGAAACTTAGTTAACTCACCAACGCTCCGCAACTTACTTGTGACAGTTGCATGTCTTTTGTGAGGACATCGTTGCGTGCAGTATCTGGACGGTTCCAGTTGAAGCAAAGTTCAAGGGGGTCCAGACTATTTTTGGTTTGCACAATTGCATGTAGAATTGCACTGTCCAATTCACCCGATGTTCCAGTTTTGCCAACTTTACACACTGTCACCTGATAATAGCGACATTTCTTCAAAAATAGCTGGATAAACTATTCAACTACCAAAGTCGAAGCATTTAATCAGACGGCTTAGAAAGCTTTAAATTGTTTTTTTTTGTGCCGACCATCCGACCATTTGAAAAATGGGGAGGAACTTGGTACAAATAATCATCGGACTGGGTTGAGTGATATATCATATTAAAGCCCTTTTAATCGTGATTCGAACGACATTACAAAATTTCCGAAAGTTCTGGGCTTTCATCAGATCCTTTTATTACATCACTCACAAATCAACGATACTAATCTGGGAAAAAAAGAAGAAGAACTTAAGTATTTTCTTAAAAATATGGTGGGAACATTCTGCGCTACTTGCACAGCAACCGGATCTCCTTGTTTTTAACTTGAAAAAGTACTAGCAATAATCAGCATTTTGAGCTTTTTTGATAAACTCTCCTCAAATGGAGAGACACAATTCCAATCCTTTGATAGGCTATGGAGTCGATTCTTGAAGCAATAGTCGACAATAATACCTATTCCGACAATGAATGTCAATTTAAATCTCCTCGTTCAAAAATAGTTTTCTCTCAATCTTCGCTGCTTTCATGACTCGTCTAGACGCTTTTCTGTTTTTTTTTTCAAAAAAAAAGAAAAAGAATGAAAACCGAATGTGCAAACCATGTTTTCGAACTGAACAATGGATAGAATGAGCTCCAAAAATTGGGTGTCATCTTGTCCTTTCTTATTCGGAGTCGAAATGTCTCGAATTTTGTTCTTGAGCGTGTCTCGTTTGTCCTGCGGTATATCTACACCTCCGTCCTCTTGGCTGTAACAAAAAAAGTCCAAATAAAACTAAGCACTGTAAAAATTACATAAATTATATAGAAATCAAGACGTCCGAAGCATCAGAACGTTCGATTTTAATACCGTGGTTGCTGCTATATCAAAAATGGTGCAGAAGTTTCTGCAAAAACTGTGTTTGCAAAAATTGGCGCTACGGCTCACAAGACGTGCGCTGCAATTTGCACGGTGAGATCTTGTAAGAACCAAGCTTACTTAAACTTAAATATTTAACCTCCGGGTTCCTCAGACTGGTTAATTATATATATTTTCTTATAAATGAATCCAATCTGAGTGATCATTACCGACTGTAGCTCTTCATGGCATAGATAATGCAGTCGGAAGCCCCTCCGACACCATCACAGACCACAACTGGTATCCCCTCCCTCAAGGTCTCCAAAACAATTCTGAAGGTCAAAAGGTCACCTCCAACCACGACAACTACAACTGGGACCTTTCCTATGCTTTTCTGCGAAATGCTGCTCTGAACTCCACCAAAAGTGTCTGAGTTAACTTCATGTTTGTTGAGATATGAAAGCAATTGTTGGGTCAAATTCCAGTTGCTTTTGAATTGATTCTGCTCCTGGGAGTCCTCGTGGGTGTCGGTGAAGATGAAGAAGGGGTGACTGGGATTCAAGGGGGTGGTGTTAGGAGTGGCTGCATGTTTTCGTACAACGTAATGAAAGTCCTGGAGAAAAACTAAGCTTCTTAAGGTTGCATGACTTCAAAAAAATAGAAGTTTTTTTTCAGTTTGTATAGTAGTCAAAAATAGTAGTTTTTTTTTCAAATTTATTCAATTTGAACCTTGCCTTTTTTAACTTTATTGACTAATCTGTCGTGAACTGATTTTTTGATTATTTGACTCAACAATTGAACTATTTTTCAACTATTGGGCCTTTTATACCCAATTCCTTCATAAAGAATTACTTTTAAATCTTAAAACTGTACGCAGAAAACAAAGTTATTAAATTAACCAGAGCATGTTCGTCTCTTTCGAAGTGAGATTTCATTTCTTCATGATTATCCACAGTTTTCCATTTGTTCACACCAATACACCTTATCCTGTCACGTGGTGACCCTGATGACGTCAGTGAAGGCGTAGTTGACGTCACCCACATTTCGTTCTGCATAATTCTGACGTCATTAGCCAGGGCTGAACTGATTCCCCGATTGAGGCCAGAAGTCAACACCCACGACTGGGAAGTTGAAGCCGCCTGTGAAAAACTTACATTTTTTTGGTCTTTTGCCAGTTATTAGAACTTGCTGTTTAACTTACATACCATGCCTACAAATATTTAATGCTTGTTGGATGAAACCATCGCAGGGTTAACTAAACTAAATCTCAGGTCAGAGCTACCTTGAGTAGTCCCTCTTTGATGCAATCTCTCTGGTATGGATCCATCTTTGTAGAATGGGAAGAATTTTCTAGAAGGGAAATGACAAGATTAGGTGGGGTCATCTCCCAATCAGTTAGCATATGTTTGACCAAGTCTTCCAAAGGCACATTTTCTTCATCATCAATGCAGGCCATCTGAATAAGACAAAATGATCTTTTGCTGATTCAAACAAAGTATTAAATTCACACTTATGTGTATGTGGTCTTTCGATAAGTCCTCCAGAGCGATAGATCTCGCAAGAATCTTGAAAGAGTTAGTTAGTTCTCTTGCATGGAACGTCTTGCAAGACAAACATTTTTGATATTATTTCATGATAAAAAAATGTGAAGACAAACTCAAAAAAAAACTTTCGAGTCTTCAGGCATTTATTTGGGTTACAGCAGAGAACAATGTAAACTTGGCAAGGCTAGCTGGGTTGAACATCCTGCAAAATCTTCACCTGTCCTGGAAAGTTTTTTGGATTTGGCGATGTGAAAAAAAAACATCTTCTACTTTTTGAAATAAGTCCCGTGGTTGCACAAAGTCTAGCTGTTGAAAACTTTTTTGGGGTCACTTATTCATTCGTTTGATCGGTGCATATACAAAACACAAAACAGTCCCATACAAAACAGTCCAATGCAAAATAATCCACAAAATCATGTAATGAAGGAAAAAAACAGTCCAATACAAAACAGTACGGTTTAAGATAGCCGACTTGATCAAAATGTCTTCAGTTGTGTGTGTGTGTGTGTATGTTGTGTTCAAATCGATAAAGCAGAAAGGAATTGGAACAGTTTTATAATGCACAGCATAAAAATTTATATTCACTCTGTTACTTTTTATTTTAAACGATAAAAAATACAAATTATATCTAAAAAATCATTCTGGGGAAACTGCTAAACATATTGCTAAAAATTTATAAAATTGTTGTCTTCTTTTACGAACCTTATTTGGTTTCTTCACACATATAAGTATTATCTTCTAGGAAAAAAATTCATGCTTTTGAATTTCGTGCTAAAAAATTAGCTGCCTTGAAAGCCGGTTATCTTGCCAGACCTTGAAGACTTCTGCATGATATTTGAGTGATATTCGCCATATCTTAACAATCTCAAAAAGTAGCAAGATTAACTTTAATTGTGTGAAAAACGCATTCCAAAACCTAACTACCCTTTTATGCTTCGACTATCAAAAACGACCAAAAGAAAATGCAACATATGTTTCATCGTCACTTACTCCCGGCCAATAGTGACCAAGGAACGTTGTCTTGCAAATTTGCCAGACAACGTTCCTTGGTCACGATTGGTCGAGAGTAAGTGAGGATGAAACATACATTTCATTTTCTTTTGCCCCGTTTTTGAAAGTCGAACGAAGCATAAGAGAGTATAGTTAGGTTTTGAAATCTTGCGTTTCTCACACAATTAAAGTTAAACTTACTGTATGTTGCAAAGGAAAGATGCCCAAAAAATATAGTCTCGCAAAAAAAACTTTAAAACTCTTAAAAGATCTGGCAATATAATTTATTTGTCATTTTCCTCAACACATAGATATCTCATTTCCAAAGCTTCTATATAATTGTGCAGAATAATGCAAATATTATAGAGATTAAACTCAACTTTGAATTATCATTTTCAAATTATGATAAAAATATATATTTTCAAACCAAGAAGGTTTTAAGCGTTTCACTTTATGCTACCTGAAATACGCTAAGGAGGTTTTTGCCCCGACTCCTCTAGATTGTGAACGAACATCTCATAAACCTTTTTCGTTGCGTGAAAGTGAGGCAATAATACCCAGCCCAGAAAAATAACCAAAAAAGTGCATATAGTTCTTAAGCAGGGGCACAACTGCGATTCGCCGTCATAAGATGTACAGCTGGTATGTTGGTCCCTCCCCTCGTGGATAAATGGTCTTAAAAAACTATAGCTCACGGAATTATGCAAAATTTTATGTCTCTCACGTAACCGATAATTGAGCAAAGAGCAACGAACATGTTTTGATTTGTAAAGCACAAGTACTAGTGCTGTAGAAGGGATTTTCATTTGAGGACGTATTGACAGCACGTACAGGGGGCGGATCCAAGATTTGTTCGAACTGTTTGTGATTTTCTGAGCTCTCCCCAATCACTATAAAGACCCCATTGGGAGCAAAATTTTTGCGCCGCAGCTAGATTTTTAAAATACAGGCCAAAAAACGCATTTTAGCTTTTTTTTGGGACAATTTTGACCAAAAAAAATGCCTTTTTTCAGCGCGCGCTCCCATGCAAATTTAGTATATAATGGCACCAAAGGCGCCTATAGAAAAACTTTAGAGTCGGTCAGCTGTGAAAAGACGGTTTCGATGTGTTAATTTAATCCTTTGAATAAGTAACCGTAGTTCAGAAAGTTAGTCGGAGATAATAAAATAGCTGTCATCCAAAGGTGACAGACAAACTCCGAAGGTTAAATACCAGTTAGCGCCAGACAGATAAATGAATTAAATAGCACAACTAGAAATGGAATATGAACTAAATTTAGATACTATGACATTTCCCTCCTTGTAAGAATTAATGACTCTAATCAACGTATCCAATGCATCGATGTTAACAGTAATCAATAGGGTTAATAACAAGTTTTGTCAATCAACTACAACATCTTTAAAACACAAACTTTTGAGTTTTTGCCGTTTCACAGCATGCCCTCTCCCTGGACCTCCATATGATAACAGTTTTGTAAGTTGTTTATATAAGTTTGTTACTCATACTTCCTTTTCTCCTCCTTTTCATTTTGCTCCCGACTTATCCGTCTTTTGGATGTTATCGATCATGACTGCCCCCATCTTAGTCACTGCGGTTCGTTTTCTTCCAGACCGTCTAGAGCTAGTTTCATCCAGTGAACTAGCTGAATCTTGACTTGAGTAGGAAACAAGTCGTTGTTTCCGACCCCGCTTTTTCTCTTTGGTTTCTGGAATTTCTGGAATTTGTTCCGCCTCGCGTTCCGTCTCCTGTGGTGTGATTCCTCCGGTATCTCCCTTCCTTTGGTTCTCTGCGATTTCCGGCTCGCGTGCAATTGTGTAGTCCGTCGCTGTCTCGTAATTACTAGGTCGAGTCGTTATGATTTCAGGCTGTATTTGGTCCTGTCCCCCACTAGACGTTCCTTGTCCGTCTTCCCTAACGTCTGTTTCCCCACTTGTCGGTTTGGCTTGCTTCGATGTAATTAGCGGCAAATGGTCCTCCGCGTCCGAGTCTGAGTCCTCCGCGATTTCCAAATTTTGGAATCGTGACTTCTTTCCCACGGTGCTATGGAAAGTTCCCCTGGTGCCTTTTGAGCTGCTTGGCTGGTTACCACACGTTAGAAACTTTCTTTTTAGGTCCCATGGCGTTGGTGTTGCCGCGATTTGTCCCGGCGCCCGTTTCTTCTGAATTTTTGCCTTCTTTAGTGCTACTCCCGATTTTCTAAGCACAGCACCATTACTCATTTCAATAGTGTGCTTACTTTGATTAACTATGTCAGAATTTAATGGTCTATACCTATTTATATTCCGCTCCCCGGTCCTCTGCATCACCACTGCCGGTGGTATTTCTACTGGGTCACTTGGTGCCCGCACAATTCCAGGCTCGTCATCCTGGTTAGCGGCTTGGTCATCGGCCAATTTCAGTGGTCTTCACCTATTTTTCAGGTCGTACTCAGTGTGCGATCGGATTCCCCAGTTGGTATCCATAGGCTCCGGCATTGCTTGGGCGATTGGGTCTCTTTCATCTAAACATGCAGATTTTGTTCGTATTACATTTTCCCAATTTAGGTTCCGTAAAGTAGGCTTTTTAGTCAAATTTCTGAGGACCGTGTTAGCTTCCCGGCCGTGGTGCGCTTCGAACGGTGTTATGTTGAGGGTGGCGTTTTTAACAAATCTTAAAGCTCCGAGGGCTCTTTCGACCATTCGATCCAAGGGTTCCGGTTTATCCTCCCGCGCATACGTCAGTACTGAATTCTTGATGCTGCCAATCGTGCGGTCGACAATCCTGTTGCCCTATGATCGTTCACTGGCGAGATGAGGATTTAAATTCCTTGTTTATGACAAAATGCCCTAACCTCCTTAGACATAAAATTTGTTCCTTGATCAACTCGAATTTGGCGCGGAACTCCATGGGCAATTATGTATGCTTTTAAAAATTTAATAATTTTATCCGATCGCTTCGAATTACAGACCATAGCCGATGGCCAACGTGAGAACCGATCCACCGCCACCAAAACATACTTTTTAGACTCCTTCAAGTAGTTAATGGGCCCCCAAAAATCCAGTTGTACCGATTCATTCGGTTCTTTTGGCTCAGGTATTTTCCCTATATCATTCTTCGAACACATGTTTTTCAAGTTCTTACCCGCTAATGTGCATTCCTGACAATTCCCGGCGATAGTTGCTAAGTTACGGAACATGTACGGGTTCCAGATGTCTTTAGCCGCGTCGTACATACTTGATTTCCCGTGGTGATAATAATGTAGCCTATTGGCCACCGCCGCTTGCAAGGTGTTAGGGATCACTAGCCTCTCGTCCATCCAAAGGCATCCGTCTCTTACGTGAAAGTCCTGAGTATACTGCGCAAAGTACTTTTTCATCGCTGCAATTTTTGAGTGTAACTGAGGGTCTTTACATTTAATTAAATTGATAATGGCTTGTAATTGTGGATCTGAATTATATTGTGATTATATGAATCGAAGATAAAATAATTCGGGAAGAGCGGTTTGTTTACTGACGATTTTGCAATTTCTCAGAATGACGGACATAACCCTATTTTCCGGATTAACCGGTGGATAACTTTCGCCAGGGTAGACCGGCGGAATGGAGATAATAGTATTTGTTTTAGTGCTCCGGACTTCTGTTGTAACCGCCTGCATATCCACATCAATCTCCTCTGTTTCATCGCTACTACTAATGCTAGGGTGTCGTTCCAACAATTTTCTGATTTTTTTTCCATGATTAAATTGTGTTTTATATTTTGAGTGTTTGTTGAAGAATTTGGAGAAATTTTGAGTGTTTTTGAAGAATTTAAATAACTAAAGTCAGCTTCAATAATAGTCCCAACTAAATTATTACAAGACTTAATTGACCTGCCGGAAATGCAATTCGTCGCTCTGTGATTGGTCCAATTTCCATCGCATGATCGTTCGCCCTCTACCGGTCGTTTTCTATTCGATATATTACAAACGCGTCTATTTTTAGTAACCGGTGGATACTCGAGTCTATTTTTGGAGAAAAGTTCTTTTTCAAATCCGAGGGCGGATCTAATTCTACTAATTTTCGCCACCGTAAACATACTGTCGTAGGTGCTAACCGGTTGAGGCTCCAAACTGGGATGCCTTGATAGATAATCAGCGAGTCTAATTTTTGCTCCGGGTTTATGCTCTACTTGAAAATCGAACGGTATAAGACGATCTAACCATCTTGTTAATCTGCTGAACATTGTTTTGTTCTTTTTGTTGTTCTAATTTAGCAATGATACTAGTGCCTTATGATCCGTAACTATTAAAAATTTTCTTCCAAGCACATAGTTGCGGAAATATTCCACCCTCCACACAACTGCCAGCATTTTTAATTCATTCGTTGAATAATTTTTCTCTGCCTCGTTTAAATACCGGGATGCGATTGATATCGGCCGCCAGCCGTCGGAATTTAGTTGCTCAATGACCGCTCCGAGCCCGTTACGACTAGCGTCACACACAATTCTCGTGTCTCGGTGTATATCAAAATGCCGAAATTGTACTATGTTAGCCACCTGCGTTTTCAGGTTTTCGAATGATATTTGACATTCGTCGCTCCAAATATAATCGTTTTTCCGGCTTAATAGTGGGCGCAATGACGCTGATGATTCCGCAAGCGCCGGAAGATATTTGTGCAGGCTGTGAATGGAGCCCATAAAGGATTTAAGTTGTGACACCGTTTTTGGTGCTTTAAGCGATTCGATCGGTTCCGTTTTTCGGACGAGCGGTGTTATTCCGGTACGAGTTATTTTGTGCCCCAACCATTCACACTCTCTTCGCGCAAATTGGCATTTAGTGAGCTTAAGCGACATATTCTTGCGAACCAACTTCCGCAAAATTTTCTCAACTGTCGAGATATGCTCAATCTCCGTGCCTTTGGTGACCACCAAAATGTCATCAATAAAAGCATCGCAAAATTCCGAAAGGATCGTATCCACCACTCTTTGAAATTCCGCTGGCATGGTTGTAAGGCCGTAGAACCCCGTTTGAAAACGATACGTGCCCGTTGATTTTCCTCCCACCCGCGAAAAATTGCATTGAACGCTCGTTTCCGGGCTAAGTGGTAATTGACCGTACGCGTACGTAAGATCCATAGTAGAAAAAAATACATCTCCTGGTTTCCGTTCGCTTATCGTTTGTCCTACCGTATCCATAAGCTCTTCAATATTCGGCATTTGGTATTTATTCTTGTGGACTTGCTTGTTCAGCTCCCGGGATTCTAACGCTAATTTTACTGATCCATCCTTTTTGACTGATATTACAATCGGAGAAACAAAATACTTATCCGAACATTCATTCAGCTTTTCAATGTGTCCTTGTCGTAAAATTTTATCAATTTCCTTATCGACCTTATCCTGCAATGTGATTGGCACTCGCCGTCTGTTTTGTTGAATTGGCGTTAACGTTTCGAAAAAATCTGCGTGTACCCTATGAATCTTCATTTTTCCGACTCTGTTAAAAAGGTTTTCAAATTGCTTACTGAAATAGGTCTGCCAGTGGTCTAGTGAATCCGCCACATCTGTTGCCTCAACCGCAGATTGATCGCTCTGTACCGACATCACATTCTCCTCCGGTGCCTTCTGCACTATCTGTAATCCAAGATTTGGCATTAGGTCTCTCCCAATAATTGATTTTCTGCTTCCTCCAATCACTCTGATATTCGCGTTGGTCACCCATCCGTTCGTTTCCAACAATACGTCCATCGTTCCTAGTAGTCGTAAGGGGTTGTTTCCGCAGTCCCTGAACTCATCGTCCGCCGGTGCCGGTGCCTTCACCTTGACGCCTGCGGTGCCCAACGTCGGTTTCAATTCCCCAACGGTGAATATCGAAATCGGTGATCCACTATCTATCCAAACGTTTGGTTGCTTTCCATTTACCTTAATTGGTAGTCGGGCGCCGGCCACTTTTAATTCTGTTTCTCTCCGAGATCTGATAGCCATGACCACATAATCTCCTGAGCTATCCGAATCCCACGATCGTTGCTTCTTTACCGGCGTATTAACCCAGCCAACGGAATTCTCATGCTGCTAGTAAGTATCCTCCGCGTCGTTTATTTCACTAGCTTCCATATCCTCCTAATTTTGGATTAGTCCACTGCCGGTCTTCCCCGATTGTTTCGCTTTCCCCTACAAGTCCTTTCGTAATGTCCAGTTTTCCGGCAGGAGTTACACGTTGCATTTTTGGCTGGACAAGTTGTGAGGTGTTCCGGAGTAAAATTGGGTTGATCACAATTATAGCATCTTCTAGAACCACCCCCTCTCATTTCTGCTCGCCCTCTAAACGATCCACGGCCCCGCTGTCTATTGTTTCTGTATCCTCCTCGGATGGCTCCCACCGGTTCCGTCTTGATTTGGAACGCTCCAGCTCCGCCGGCAGTGCCAATAGTTCTTCCCTCGGTTACTGATCCGTATGACTTAGCATATTTGTATCCACGTTCATATGAAAGTGAAATACGGTACACCTCCTCTGGTGTCTTCGTCGAGCGACATAACTCATTTTGGGCCTCCCTATTGTTCATGTTCACAATGAACACATCCCGCAAAATCCTGGTCTCCAATGCTCCAAAATTACATCGGGCGGCCAGCCCACTTAACACTGAGTGGAACTGTTCCAGCGATTCTCCTATTTGTTGCTTCCGTGCCAATAGTTGGAATGTCTCGTAAGTTTCGTTCCGTTCCTTCCTGAATTCTGTTTCAATAGTATCCAAAACTCTAGAGTACCTTGTTGTAGATAAATCCAGGTGTGGTTTCCTCTTATGTAGCTCATCCTGTCCTTTCTCCCCCAGACACAAATACAAGTTCGAGATAAGCGTTTGCTCCGACGCCAGCGATTTGTCCCGTCTACCTCCTCTGGTAAATCTGTAACCTGCGCTGCGGTTAACGTACTGGCATAATAGAAATTCTTTGGGTTTATACTATGTTTGGCCACCATCCCCCATTGAAAACAATTGAACCAAAACTCCCATAGCATTGGTGGCTCTGCAAACGTCGAGGGCCAAAACGATATAATCCCCAGCGGGTTCCCCCCCCCCCCCCCCCCCACTTTGGCCTGCTGGCTGCGCCATGTGAAAAGACGGTTTCGATGTGTTAATTTAATCCTTTGAATAAGTAACCGTAGTTCAGAAAGTTAGACGGAGACAATAAAATAGCTGTCATCCGAAGGTGACAGACAAACTCCGAAGGTTAAATACCAGTTAGCGCCAGACAGTAATAAAAATTAAGTTAAAAAAAATTTGAGAAAAAAATTCAATTATATTCAATGTGTTTTTGCTATCAAAAGTTTGTTCTGGTTTTTTTTTAAAATGTGATTTGAACTTAAGTTGGATCAGCACTCTTTTATTATAAGACTTGATATCAGGTATCAATTGAACATCAACATTTAAATGTCGAAGCCTGTGTAGTGGTCGGAACATTCGGTGCTACTTGCACAGCAGCCGGTTATCCTTGTTTAGATATAAGCTCTTAAGGTTAAACTTGTCGTATTTCATTTGAAGAAGTCGAATATTAAAATGGTTATATTCTGAGGGATTATTATTAATGCAAACTGCGACCTTAAAACGTGTCGTTAACACAGCGCCAAATTTACAATGTATGAACTTAAGTGAACTTACCTGGCTTGTTAATGGTTCAACTTCTATTTCGTTAACAAAATTGACATATCCTTCAAACTTTATCCAAGTAGTCCTCTCTGAATCACCTGGAAAGAAGCTATTTCGCGCATGCCGAGAAGTTTCCAAGTTTTCCAGAGAATCCATAATTTGTGGCAACAAAAACAATTAAATAAAAAAATGAAAATTTTTTTCAAAATGATAAAATTGGTCTACAACTGCGAGCGAAGTTGTTTACTTAGTAAGTTGAAAATGTTTGGCGTGTATCTGGTCGAAGCTGAAAATAATTGAGGTCTAGTCGATGAAGTATTCTTCTAGCTAATATCAGTTTATCAGTTGCACAGTCAACGCATTAAAAATCAGCAAGTTGTGAGAGAAAGTGTTTTCAATTAAATGAAGATCAATGAAGAACCTCTCATAGTACAGCTAGCAATTTAATTCGTACGCTATAAATTTTTTACGCAAGTATGAATATGCTTATGAAACTGTTTTTTTAAAGATCCAGGGGCCAAAAACACCCGAATTGTAATTGTTTCGAGGCAGTTAACCCAATTTTATTGCCGAGCGAAGTCTGAATAAAGACGATTCTTGAGTCCCTGTAAAAAGCAGGGATAAAAGATGGGTCCCGTCTTTTTATATTGAACAGTTGGAAAACGCAAATAAACTAACTATCATGCTGTTTTTGAAGAATTCAGTGCCAAAAAAAACTCCTCCGCAGCCATGGAACCGTATAATACTAGTACCGCGAGTTCTCAAAAAAAGGGCAATTTAAATCAAATGGTCAGTACAAACTATCCAGTTTGAAGCAAACAAAATAAGCTATTCCTACATCTTTGAATTCTGAACCATTTTGTAATATGTTTTCTCTCTAAAACAAGGCTAAGATAAGGCTGATTGCATCAGCGCAGAGTAATAATTGTTTTGAGCTGTAATTTGAGTCGTTTAAAAAACATTTTTAATTCGAAAATCTAATTCAAGTTAAAAAATGCAATATAACTTTTTGTTTTTATCAGGGGCGGATCTAGGATTTTCTCGAGGGGGGGGGGGGGGGGGCGTTTTTAGTTTTTTCAAAATTTTATCGACCTTTTTTTAAGTCGACTGATTAGATTTTTCAAGCTCTCCCTAAGCACAGTTTAGTCCCTGTATTGGCCAAATTTTCTGCCCCGCAGGCAATGTTTTGAAAAACAGTCCAAAAAAGGCGTTTTTAGGCACTTCTTAAAAAATTTTCACCAAAATTTCCCACCTCAAAATTAGGATATATTGGCGGCCAAGGCACCTTTAGAAAAACTTTAAGGTCGGTCGGCCAAAAATGAGTTTCCTAAAAAGTACCAAAGGGGGACCCATTGGGTCGGCAGGGGGTCGAATCCTTGAGGGGGAGGCGTATGCCTCCCACCACCCTCCCCCTAAATCCGCCCCCTGGTTTTTATTGATGAGAGCAGAATTACGTAAGAATCAGCTGGAAAACTTACCTTATGAGCGTAAGTCCGGGGTTAAGTTGTGATCAAGTATTTGTCTTTTTATTTTTTATTTCTTGTGAATTCCTGCTGGTAGGGGCTCTTTCCTTTTCGAAATAAATTTATAATCAGATTGTGACAAAACTCTATCTCGTGACGGGTCGCTAGTGGGATCAATGACGAATCGGAGGATGAAGTCATCGTCAAAATTTTTGACGTATTGGATCAATTTCTATGTGGTATGACAGGTAATGTATGTGTAGCTTTCAATGTGTCTTATTGGTTGATTCTAATTATATTATCTTACTGGTTTTCGACTAAAAGTGTTTTATTTTCTACGTTTGCCTTTTATAGATGATGTTGTCGTAGCTTCTGATTCAAAAAAAAATCGTTGATTGTCAACTGTTTTTTTTAATCGTGTAATATGTTTCTGATGCTTTCAAGTTTAAACCGTTGTGTTCTGGAAAGTTGAGTTCTTATCATTTGTTTCTGTTTATAGATTACAACCTTATTTTTAATTTGCGTTTTTGATCTGATATATCCTACTTTTTGCTTATGCTTTGCGATGACAAGGTCGTATCTAGAATCCTTAATTAGAAAATTATGAAGAGTTAGTGTTTGTTTGTTTCCTAAAATAATTTTTATAATAAGTGTTCGAATGATATAGGCAAAATCTAGATGCAATTTCTAATTACTAAGCTGTTAGTTCTTACGCTTTTTTGAGGTTATTCTAATCCCCGGGTTGTGTTGTCGTGGCAAGATAGAATGATTTCTTACCGCTCTCAAACGAATATGGCGTCCTTTATAATTATGTTAACTTAATCTTACTTAAATGGGGATTGATATGAGATCGAGGGTTGGAGAATAGTAAATCAATCCACAAGGTTCAAGTATAATTAGAACCCGATTAAATCGTTGGATACTATTTTGGTTCTAGCTAGTTCTAAGATTTGTTCTAGGGGTGGATCATTCAAGAGGTGGTTTCAAGTGAAGGATGAGTAACTGAACTTTTTCACTGTTTTGCTTAATTTAAATAGTTAGCTTGTAGAGAAAAGTAGAGTTGATCCTTGGGAAATAGAAATGGAAAGGAATGGAAAGTGAATCGAAGTTTGAGGTCGTTAGACACTATAATAAAATTTGTGATTAATTTTTTTAAGTGATCCAAAAAGGCCGTAACGATCTTGGTGTAAAAATAAATTAAAGTGAAAGTTTGAACAAAAAACAAGGATTTGGTTTTATGGTTGAAATTCAAAGATCCATGGGAAGCCTTGATGATCTGGGTTTAGTTGTATAAGGTTAATATTAAATTTAAGCAGGGATAAGCTTCGATAGAAAATGTTTGAGGTTTTTAATGATTTAAAAACGGTTAGAGAACCAAGAAAGTTCTTGGTGATCTTGTTTTGTGATTAAGTTAAACGATAGAGATTCTGTTTTTGAATTTAGATGAAGAAGAGCAAAATCAGTGATGGTCCTCGAGAAGCAAGGCACCAACAAAAAAATTCATAAACTAATTATTAATAAAGCTTTTTACTAACAAATTCTTAAGTTTTCTTTTTTTGAATTAATAAACATTGAAGTTTAAAAGTTTTTACAAAACTACTGCCGATTTGAAGTCTTAAGATAGATATAGATTTTTTTTTGTCTGAGCATTTATGTGTAATATTAACTGGTTATAATATTTAGAAAATACGGCTCATAAAATCAACTTTACGGCTGTATTTTTTGCAGTTTATATGATAATGAATGAACACTTAAGGAGTAAATTTGAAAATGAATAATCTTCTGTTTTTTTTTGCTTTGTGATGCGGGAATTAGGTCTGCCGTTTTTTTTGTGACCTGATTTCGACTTTAGTTTTGATTAGACTTATCATCGAGTGGTGGGAACAAGCTAATTCTACTTTCGATTTGGTTTAACAATTGTTAAATTTTGTTTAAAAAAAATTGTATAACAATTTATTAAACAATTGTAAAAAGAAACCAGTACTGACTTTAACGCCTCTTTTTTGCAGTTAGTTGGTACATCGACACAATCAACCTTGACGATTCCTCAATAGTAACTAGTTTTAACAGTGGTTGAACACTATCTGAATTTTTCTCTTTCATTCACCTATACCAACGTAAAGAATAGCCTAACTCAATGGAAAAGTACCGTTGGAGACTGCATAGCAGTGGGCTATTTGAACAAACAACAAAAAAATTACCTTAAACACCGACCACGCTTTTTCACCGAGTTCTTTAAAATTTAAATTAAGAAGCTTGCTAACCCAGTTCGAGACGAAGCCACAAACACTGGTAAACACTGGTAACATATTATCTTTATTGCCCAAATTGACTTCATTCTTTATGCAACGCCGTTAAAAGCGAGTTGCTCAACATCTCCCCAAAGAACAAACCAAATCAGGCAGCAAGCCTTGGAAACAATACCAAAACAAGGACTGAACCTCTCATAATCACACAGAGCGATGATAAGTTCTTATATTTTGATTGTGGTAAATAGAACAATTGAATTTTTATATTTGCAACAATACCTGCGCCGCTGGAGTTGCACTTTCAGTCCAAAATCTGTCATCGCGATGGAGCGTTTTCAACGGCACCAGATGTCTTCTACCACGTTTATACCTTACACGGTGTGATCGAAAACTCATTTATACTTATGGTGGACGCTCTGCTGCCGTGCAAGTTTCAAAACACGTATGATTAAATTTTTTAACTGCTTAAAGAAACTCGGAACTAAAATTATTGTTGATTTCGAAGCCGCTGTTCCCAACGCCATCGAGAAAAAGCAGCCTGATTGCAGAAAAAATTCAATTCTGTTTCTTTTACCTGGGCCAGGCAGTTTGGCACAATGTACAAAAAACTGTATTTCCGAGCAAGTACATAGGCGTTGATGAGTTTCGCTTAAACGTCGAAAAAACGATTTGCGTGGCAATCGTTCGCGTTGACGATCTAGCAATCGCATTTGAAGAGCTCAAAAAAGGGACCTTCAGAGGAGTTTCAGAGTCTAATGGAAAACTTTAAAGACGCCTATTTCTAAGCCTTTCGAGGGAACAGACGCGTCAAACCAAAGTTTGACATTGCCGATTGCAACGTTTTCAATTGGGTGCTCAGCGCAGAACCTTGTACGATTAATCCATTGGAGGCATGGAATGGCAGCATCAGTAGATTCGTGTCGACAAAGCACCCATCCTTCCCCAAGCTCATCACACATTTCAAAGAAAAAAAAGCCGAACCTAACGGAGAGACGAGGATGGCTGGTGATGGCGATATTATCAGAAAATTGAAGCCCAAATATTCACTCGCCAATAGAAAACTCGAGTGCCATTGAGCAACTGGAGCAAATTTATTGCAATCGAGTCCACATACAGACGTATTTAAATTTTTGAACCATTAATGCACATATTTTCTATAGTTTTTTGCCTAGCAAAATTGTTTTGATCTCGAAAACTTGTTAATTGCCCTCTGATTCTAATCCAATTGGAATAGTATTTAGGTTTTTCTTCCATCTAGTCTCTTTAATCTAGTTTGTTGAATCACTTTTGGCTGAATTGCCTCAGTTTGTTTTGGTTGCGCTGTCTGTATTTAAAATTGGCTGAATTGTCTGTGGCTGCTTTGCCTGCAAATTGCATTTTTAAACATACTTTTAGTTTTTATACCGTTTTTAAGAACAGATGATTATTTTATAACTCCTGTTAAAAAATTAAGAATGTTGTAAGAAACAACCCTGCTTTAAAAAGAAGCAACAAAATAAATTAAAATTAACCCGTCATTCAAAAACGCGCCAGTGAATTGTGATAACAACGGATGCTCTGAAAGTTACTACTCCCTCAGGCATATCATCATCCGTATTCGTCTTTATAATTGGGTTCAG